TTTTAAAATTTGAAGAACAACTTGAAGATGGTCCGCATGATCTTCAAAAGTTTTAGAATAAATAAGAATGTCATCTATAAAAACCACAACAAAATGATCTAAAAATGGACGAAAAATCCTATTCATATAATCCATAAATATTGCAGGAGCATTGGTCACACCAAAAGGCATCACTTGATATTCATAATGACCATACCTAGTTCTAAATGCAGTTTTTTGTACATCTTCTGTCTTTACTCTAATTTGGTGATATCCTGATCTTAAATCTATTTTACAAAATACAGAAGCTCCCCTTAATTGATCTAACAAATCATTTATTCTTGGAAGAGGGTATTTATTCTTTATGGTGAATTTATTTAACTGACGATAATCTATGCACAACTTAAAACTGTCATCTTTCTTCTTAACTAATAAAACAGGGGCTCCCCAAGGTGATACACTAGGACGAATGAATTGTTTTCCAAGTAATTCTTCCAATTGTTTCTTCAGTTTTGTCAGTTAAGAAGGGGATATCCTATATGGTGCCATAGAAATTGGTCTAGTTCCAGGTATTAAATCTATTGAAAATTCAATCTCTCTGTTGGGTGGTAAACCAGGAATATCATCAAGAAAAACTTCAGAAAAATTTTGAACAACTGCTATCTTTTTCAAATCGACTTTCTCTTTTACTTCCACAGAAGATAGTAACAAATATCCTTGAATTTTGTTCTTTAAAGACTCATTTACTGAGTTGGTAGAGAAACTCAAAAGATTTTCAGAATTTGAAAATATTACTGATTTTTCTGCACAATTTAGAAGGACTTGATTGGAAGATAACCAGTCCATACCCAGGATTACATCCAATTGAGATAAAGGTCGACAAATTAAATTTACAAGGAATTTCCTGTTTTCAATGAACAAAAGACAATCTAGACAAATTTTATTGGTGATTACAGACTTACTTGTAGGAGTTGAAACAATCAAACTATTATCTAGAAAAGAAGTCGGCAATTCAAGGTATTGGACACAATCATTGGAAATAAATGAATGAGTTGCGCCTGAGTCATACAGTACATTTAAAGCTTTGCCTTGAATGAAACACATACATTGGATCAAATCATTATTCTGAGAAGCTTCAGTTCCATTCATGGTATATACTCTTCCTGTTGTCGGAGGTCTTCTTTTTGGTGTAGAAGGATCAGAATTTGGTTTTTATGGCCGACATTCAGAGAATATATGACCAGGTTTCCCACACTTAAAACAGACAGGTCCTTTAAGATGACAATCTTTAGCATAATAATCTTGTCCACACTTAAAACACTTGAGCTGATTATTTATAAGGTTATTAAAATTTCCTGCAGAAAATTGATTGGGTTGGGATCTCCAGTGGGAGCGGTTGTAAGGTTTTTCTTCATTTTGTCTCCTTTTATTATGCTGGGGTCCAAAAGATTTTGGTTTACTACTTTGATGATTTTCAAAATCTTCCAAAAATCTGCATTTATGAATAAGCGTAGGAAAATCAGAAATTTCTAGTATTCCTACCGCTTTTCTCAATTTGGGCCTAAGTCCATTCTCAAATTTTATACACTTCATTCTTTCATCAGGGTGATAAAAGAATGCATAATATTTTCCTAGCTCTTCAAACTTAAAGGCATATTCTCCTACTGTCATACTTCCTTGCTTTAATTGCATAAACTCTATTTCTTTCGTTCTTCTCACATCATTGGGAAAATATTTTTCTAAAAATTTTGTTCTAAACACTTCCCAAGTAATGATTATTCTTCCTCCTTCTAGTAATCTCCTGGTACTATCCCACTAATATTCAGCCTCTCCTATCAACATAAACACAGCATAATTCATCTTTTGGTCATCAGGACAATTCATAACTTGAAATATTTTTTCCAATTCTTTAATCCATAATTCAGCCTTTTCTGGGTTATATCCTCCAGAAAATTGCGGAGGCTTGTTTCTCCTAAATTCAACTAAACCTTGTGATCCATTGGTTCCTTCAGGTCTTTGGTTCCTTAATAATGTAGCGGCCATGTCTCGAATAGCTTGTACCGCTTCGTCAACTCGTTGTTCCTTCTATTATTTGCCATCTGGAATTATATAAGTTAGGATTCATAAGATATCATGATAGACTCATTGTACAGGTCACACATGAAACGTTGTTCGATACCATTTAATGTGATGTTTATTTTTATTATTATTATTATTTATATAAGAGTAGGAGGTCAAAAAAATATTACATATATGTAAAAGATATACAATAGAAGAAGGAATTTTATTTTTTATTCCTTCTATTTTTTTCTACGATTTTACAAGTATTTACATTGCCGGTGGAAACAAACTAATTAAGGGGTTTTGGAAAAAGGTAGGAGGCATACAAAAGGTAACCACTACTGGCCCATCTAACATAATGGGATTTCCCATATAAGATACAAATGTTATTATTGAAAATCCTATCCCTCTAAAAGTAACCGAATTGTCTATAACATTTGTGTTCCAAGTAGTTCGGGAAAGAAGGCAGTGATGCTTGCAAAAAAGGGATTTAGAATATTTGGCGCCTCCATCAACTTAAGTTGATTTTTAAATAAAACATGCACAAAAGATCACAATAGGGAGTGAGAACATTTATCAATTACAATAATACAATCTTATAATATATAGATATATATATGTTTCAACTTCCTCAACACATTATATTTTATGAAGATTTAAATTAAATTTGTAGTGAATAGTCAGGATAAATGAGTTCAATTTTAATCACTCTCACAGTGATATTTACTCATTTAAATCCCCAAGGTCCAACCTCCATCTACAATATCATCAAATCTTCACAAATAGATATTATTGTAATTGAATAATATAACTATAGATTAATAAATAAGATCGTTGCATTACTAGAGATAAAATAAAGTAAACAAACAAGACCAGTACGTAACTGGAGATAATTAAAATAAGATCAGTGCAAGACTGAAGATAAAATAAAATGAACAAACAGGACCAGTACATAACTGGAGATAATTAAAATAGGACCAGTGCAAAACTGGAGATAAAATAAAATGAACAAACAGGACTAGTACATAACTGGAGATAATTAAAATAGGATCAGTGCAAGACTGGAGATAAAATAAAATAAACAAACAGGACCAGTACATAACTGGAGATCATTAAAATAGGACCAGTGCAGGACTGGAGATAAAATAAACAAACATACGGTAGGGTCATACGTAGTTAGAGATAAATAAACAAATAACTAAATAAATAGAATAAGGTTAGGGACACCTCACTCCACAACTATAAGCAAAATAAAATATATTTAATGATAATATTCTCCTCCCCTACCTTAAGAGTTGCAGATGAGATACCAAAATTTTTGTAGAGACAATTTTTTTTTCTTCTTTTTCTTCTTCCTCTCTCTTCCTTTCTCTCTCTCTCTCTTTTTTTCTTTCTCTTCTCTCTCTCTCTTCTTCTCTCTCTTTTCTTCTTTCTCCCTCTTCCTTTCTCTCTCTCTTCCTCTCTCTTCTTCTTTCTCTCTCTTCCTTCTCTCTCCTTCTTTCTCTCTCCCCTTTCTCCCTCTCGATCTTTTCCCTACCCTTTTTATATCATTTTTTTTTATTTATTTAATTACGTAATCATAAATGCAGTAATTATGATTTTGATAATGTTTATCTTTTAAGATAAGATGACGTTTATCTTTTACATTAATTGAGATGTTACATTTGTGGATTTGGTTAGATTTTTTTGTTCTTCTCTAAAACAATTCGAGTTCTAACCTAATTTAATCTAAATAAGTTTATGAAATGACTCTTGCTGGATTATAATTTCTTCTAGTAACTTGTCAAATATTTAAAATATATTTTCATAATTTTATTTTAAAGTATTTTTCCTATAATTTTATTTTTTACTCCTAATTTTTTTTTCTTTTATTTGTATATAATTTCCGTTCATCCATCCCTCAGCACCTACATTATTTGGTTATTTAATTTTATTACTATCACTTATGTTGAAGGTCTTTTTAATAATTAAAAATAAGTAGTCATTAACACGTGAATTATTTATTTTTGCACTTAAATTATATAAATAGGTCTAAACTTATTACTTTGAAATAATGTCACCAAAATAAGATTGAATTTTAGAAAAATTGCATCAAGAATGTGTTTTCAAAAATACCAATCTAAAATATATTCCAAACATGAAGATAAATGTAAAAGGAAAATTTAATTTAATTTAATTATGAAAGTGCTGGAGAAATTACGAGAACAGGAAACAACAACCTTATGAAATTATAGAGATTTTATGTTCCCAAATATTTGAATGAAATTGTTTTATTTCCGAAAAATTAATAGTTGATTGTTTTGATTATATGGTAAAATAGATAGGACAGCTAAAATTTAATTTGGATTATATTAGATAGGAAAAAAATTAATACTAAAAATTTATTTACACTTAATAGTAATTATAGTCTCTATATTTCGTAAAAGCTATAAATTTTATTTTCAATTCATCAATTAAATTTCTTTTGTTTTTAATTATCTATATCTAAAATTTTGGTTCTTAAAATTCTTTTTTATGTAATTTTGATCACTTAATTTTTAGTTGTCCGTAAATTTGTTTAATTTTCAATTTTAAAATCATATTTAATTTTTATTATATAAAAAATATTATAAATATACATAAATATAATATTTAAAATAGGTCAATTCAACCTCGTATTTTCCTTTGCTTTCCTTTCCCAGGTTCATGTGTATACTCTTGAGTCCTTCAGAAGAATATTCTTGCCCGTCTCAGAAAGTTTATATCTGTGTATTCTAAAAGTGCAGTCAGTTGATTGATATGGTAAAACCCAATAAAAAAAGTCTTAGTTTTTTTTATCTTGCAAGTTCTACAGAAAGGAATGGAAATGAACAAAACAAAGGAAAATGACGAGGTCCTTGCAAGGCTGCATTTATTTGTGTAAATAAGCTTGCAGCTACGTCCATATTCTTCAACACTCTTCAGCTTGGCACTCTCATACTTCACTCTTTGTTCATGTTTCTCAAGCACACATATTTCATCTGGAAAAGTAATAGCCATAAACTTCAACAATGTCACACATTATAATCTTAAGTTTATCAAACTGAGATAACAAATTGGCCGTGCATGCATTATTCAAAGTCAACTTCACATGAAGCATTATAACTCCAAGAGTGAAGGCCTGACTCTTTAAAAATTTGTTTGTACCTCTAAATATTCATCCAATCCATATTTGGAGCCTTCTCTTCCGAGGCCTGATTCTTTGACACCACCAAAAGGAGCCACCTACAACAATGCATGCATAGATAAACCCATCAACAAAATATTCCATCGCCAATTAATCTTGTTGAATAAGGAATGAGACTCACCTCAGTTGAAATTACTCCTTCATTAATACCCACAAGGCCATATTCTAGAGCCTCAGCAACACGCCATGATCGTTGGATACTGTTTGTAAACACGTATGAACCCAAACCTTCATATGTACAGGCAGTTTCATTATCAAAAAGATTTGACATCGTTAAACCAAGAGTGACCGACCACATACGGCAGAAGTAGAAACATGAGGGGGCAAAAACCATTCTTCCGGGCTGCATAAGAATCAAGCTGGAAAATATATAGCAACAAGAACTACCTGCGTTGGTGTCGTTAGCAATCCTGATAGCATCCTCTTCAGTTTTGAATCTCAAAAGGGGTGCAACAGGTCCAAATGCTTCCTCTCTGGTATCAGACAAATCATGTAGGTGAATTAACCCAAGAAAAAAATTCCACTGAATTAAAAACAAAATTGATCATTACAAGAAAAAGTGAAATAAAACTATACCAAAATTTCAGCAAATATAGAATATAGGGTGTAAGCATCACAGAACTGTAAATTGTAAAGTTACATTGGTTTGAATCTTCATCAGCAAGACAGATGAATGCTAGCTTTTCAGAAATATACTGACAATGTGAAAATATTCAACAGTTTTGTGCAGTTGTGTTTATACAAAACTCATTCGCAGTTTGTACTCTGTAGAGACTAGCCTTATGTATATAAAACACATCTATAACCCCAGAACATCCAGTATATTATCTTAAATAGATCAGAAAAGAAAAATTCATAAATTAATCTTTTGTGACAGGGACACCATAATTGAATGTCAAATACTAGAAAACAATTAAGAAAGTACCTTTATCTCCTAATGAACTAATCCTTGTTGAGTATTTTCAAGAGGGTTAACAAGATATTAATGAATGGAACCACAAGTTAAACATATAAGAGAATATGACACCACATTCAACCCAAAATCTTAAGGTATTAAGTTTGTGAGTTTTTCTCAATTATATGTTACTCAACTTTACCATTTTTATTTAGCGTGAAGCTTCAACTCATACTTAAATGCTAATCATCCTTTGGGGGGCTCGGTTGGACTCTCCTCTTGTACTTAAGTCCCAACACATGGCATACATTGTACAGTCATTTTTTATTGTCTCTTACTCTGCATATCTCTCTGATTCTCTTACGAAACCTTTCCTCCAATTTTCAAAACTATCATTCTTACTAAAATCTAATAGATAACTTACAATGTGGATCTGAGTACCACTATAGTACATCTATTCTGATAATCAATTTGCATGGGCATCACCTCTCATTACCAACTTTTTCTATTTAATACAATTTAAAATGACAAAACACATAACATCCATTTTAGTGTAGTTAAAGTGCTTTAGAGCTGATTAGGACTTAGTTTGAATTCCATTAAGCTTGTTGACAAACAACTGTGCTTGCACTGGCACTGCAAGCATTCAACTCTCAATGAAAGATATTCTCTCATTGTTTAGAACAGACATCCTCTACACCTACAGTTAGGTTTCTAACAATCCATAAGTATGGGCAGTTGAGCATATTCAAAAACAACTTTGAATTTTCATAACAATCATGTTAATCTTTTCTTATTCCTGACTATTTAAGAAATTTGAAGTTTGAATTTACTAATATAATCATGGGCAACAAATATCTGAGGTTCAGCATCAACTGAACTAACAAGGCAGATACTATAATATACCCAAGCTGAGGTATAGTTTGTTTGAATATTATGTCAAGAAATTAATCAAAAATATCCCGTCAAATTTACCGGATAAAACTTAGAAGTCTAATGAGAGAAACAAATCAGAAACCTAGACAACATCATAAAAGGTTTACCTTGATATGCGCATCTCACTGTCGACATCACTGATGACCGTTGGTTCATAAAAAGTAAATCCAAGGCTATGTCTTTTACCCCCAAGAATTACTTTTGCCCCCTTTCAGATAAAGAGGAATTGAATTGTGAGAACTATGACCATTTCTTACTTACTAGACGTTAATGCATATTTTATGATGTACATTTGAAACAAACAAAAAAGCATGTCCAATATGAGATTTTCTGTTCATACATCATAGTTATAAACAATGAAGGTCAAGAAACCATTAAAAGACCATGACATAAAGGAATTTTCTGAAAATTTGGTTTTTCATAGCGCCATTGTTTGTTCAATGTAACCAAACCCATCCTGTGGAACAAGGCTCTCTTGCTGCTCGAGCATACAACACAGTAGCTAAAAAAGCATCAGAAAAATGCCAATAAGAAAATGACTAAACCCAAAATCCTAAGAATAATTACAATGGAACGAAATTATAAGCACACAGAAATTGCATTTAATAAACATTAGTATTCCCAAAAGAAATCTTAACTGGAAAAATATGATTGCTAGTTGGCATAAACTAAATTTTGTTATTCGACTCTCTAAGCTACTTCCTTTAGAATTAAAGGGATCGAATAGGATTTCATAGAAATAGGGGTTGGTAAACAATTGTAAAAAAAAAAAAAACCCTAAATTGAACCATAAAGAACTGACATGAACCAGTTTGCATACAATTTGTGTTTCCCCTCACAAATGAAAATGAAAGGTAGCCCTTTAATTTTGTAACCAAACTTATTCCCACAAGAAGAGAAAAAAACACACTGACAACCCGAATCCCAAACAACAGTTATTCCATTTTGAGTCTTAAGATTTCATTTTCTGAAGTAACAAATTGTTTATTATCTGAACAGCAAAGGGAAGAAAAAGTCATTAACTACAACAAGCTTCTTAGTGGTTAGGAAGAAGAAGCCATTAATTGCAAAGGAAGAGGAAACCAATCACTGCAATACCAAAAAATCATCTCAGTTATAGACTTCTCTGATATTCAAGAAAGAAGCTTCACCATTCAACAGAGATGCTGACAGATTTAATGTTTGCATTTAAGACCCACCAAACAGATCCTACAGGTACCACTATGCTGTATTCAGTTCTATCACAAGGTAAAAACATTTGGTGCTGTCACAAGATGAAAATATATGATGTGCTGTTGAGAAGTGAAAAGATAAATTTTAGATTTTAACAAGAGCAGGTTAACCAAACCCCAAAATCAGTTTCTTTCATAACAATTTGAAGCACAAAACTTCTGTACACATAAAATCAATAAAATCTGGTTCAATAACAGTTCTGTTCAATTTTAAATCAGAACCCACCATATCCAGCCTTACATAGAGGGAGGGCAGGGCGGTTGAAGCAGATAATCACATGGAGGAATAGCAAAGACAACAAACCTTTGATGTAGCATCATGAATTAAGGACTCAACCTGTAAGGAAAAACCACAAGCAAATCAAACGTTCCTATCAGTTGGAAGACACTCTGTACAATGTAAAAAGAAAATGAAATATCAAGAGGGACAAACCTTTTTGACAGCAGCTTCATTGATTAGAGGTCCCTGTTTAAAGATTGATATTGTCAAATCCAACTTTGGCAAACCACAGTTTCAGTGTTTATTAATACAAACAAATATTAATTTATCATCTTAATATTAAACAGAATCTGTTGTATCATCTAGACATGCTGTTTCCTTTAATATATTCTTGAATTGACTTTGCATCTGCCTGTTTAGAAGCATGTTACACTTGGTAAGCTTTAGAATTTAGCAGAATCACAATTTGTTACATGATTTGTCAATGCATCTGATCATTTTTTCTATTTAAGGATAGTGAATGTACTTGATTGGTTGGTTCTTCTTTACAAGGAATGTCTCTAAAAAGGAAAAGGACATCAAGGATGCTTTTTTCGTGCCCAAAGCTTGAAGTTTGAAAAGTCTTTCAAGCAAAATCATTAAAAGGTGCACTGTTAGGGTACAGGAGAAGGGGAAGTTAGTTAAGATAGTCACAATATTAATGAGTTAGTTTGCTACTTGAGATATAAGTTATAAATAGGGTAAACAAGATATGAGAAGCAGTTGTACATGTTGTAGATTGAGCATTAGCTCTTTGTGAAAAAAAAAAAAAACCTTTTGTGGTGGAGAAGCCCTTGAAGGAGAGAGTGTTCTCCTGTTTCTTGTTCTTTACATTCTATTCAATAAAAAGAGGTACCTATGGTAGCCATATCTTTGAAAGATTGAATTCCATGAAACAAGAGGGCAAACTAAGTAAAAACTTGCAGCAAACAAATAGAAACTTCCACAGTGTTCTAGAAAGAGAGGACCAACATTTAGAATTGAAAATGTTGAAGTCCAATTGTGAGTTGGATCTCTCAGTGGAGAAAAATGGAAAAAAATGAGTAGCATATAAGTGAGAAAGACCCACAAACCTAATACCTTAAGGTTTTGAGTTCAATATAGTGTCATATCCTCTTATATGATTTGACTTATGATCTCACTCACAAATATCTCTTGATTGTTGCCCCCCTCTACCTAACAATGGTATTAGAGTCGATAGTTCGATTGGTTATATATCTTAGATTGTGGATCCTTATATAAAAAATCTTCCCAACAAGGGTTTCATACAAAGCAAGTCTTGTTTTATTAAATGACGGTACAATTAAGGATCATCACTTAGGTACTTGTGCAAAAGAGATGCTTCCACTTGAGAGAGTGTGTATAAATGTGAAAGGAAGCACACTTGAGGGGGAGATTGTTCAAGTTTAAGTGAGTTGAATCCTATATTGGGTAGAAATTGGAAAGTTTAGTAGCATATAAGTGAGAGAGACTCACGAACCTAATGTCTTCAAATTTTGGTTTGAAAATGATGTCATATTCTCTTATATGATTATATTATGATTCTATTCATAGATATCTCTTCGATGTTACCTCCCTTGCAAATACCCACTAGAAAAATATATTGTACAAGATATTGAATGAAGAGGGTGATTGACATTTGACTGAGCAAGACAAAAGTAGCATAAGGGGAAATAGGTCAAAATGCATTGAAGCGAAGGCTAGTTCTTGTATAAGAAAGGTGGAACCACCCACATTTGATGGAAGCATAGAAAGGGAACTGATTTAAACAATGGTAGTTTTGAGTGTGATGGTAAACCATTGCAATTCTTGAAATAAAAAATTAAAAGTAAAGAAGGCTCATTAATTAAGAATAACACTCTTTGTAGTGGAGAAGAAACCAAAATGAAGAAAAACACAAATTATGATGGAGGAAGATGTTGATGCATCAATAAAATTTGCAAAGATTGTGAATTGTTGACATCAATATTTTGACAACCCAATTGTACAGTTAATCAAAAAGGAAGTTGAAGATGAAGATGCAACCAAACATCAATTTTTCCCTAATTCAAATTTCCATATTATGAATCATAAATCATTGTTGGACCAATATTTGATAATCACAGCAGTTGGAACATTAATGCCATTAGAATCATGGAATTTTAACTTGCTAAGTGAGTCTTTAACATTAAACTTCATTGCCTCCATGGATCAAAGTTTGGCAATGATGTCCATGTAGAAGGAAGGTTTAGAGGTTGTTATACAAAATTCAACCTCATCCCCACCACCAACCAAGCCACCACAACCGAATTTGATTTCAATAGCCAGTGAGTTCTCATTCCTATGGTAGGAAAGCATCATAATGCCTTCAAGATGGACATATGAAGATCATGGTGACAAAGACAAGCAATCTTGACAAAAGCTAAGCATTAAATGCACACCCATCATAATTCCTTAACATCGGGAGTGTGAAGAAAAGAAAAAAAAATGAAAAAGGAAAAGCCTAATCGCAATGACTAGTGCAAAAAAAGAAGTTTATGAGAATATGACTACTTTTTTCATTCATCGGTATTTAAAAAGAAGAAAAAGAAAAGAACAAGAGAAATACTGATACTCTTGAATATGTGAAGGTTACATGAAAAACCCTTCTTCAATATTTCTCTTCATCTTTATACATAGATCTTTATTCATTGTAATGTTCAGAGAATAAACTAGTCTTAGTGTGCTTAAACATTATCTCTGTCTTATATGACATGAGATATAAGTTTAGAGTAAACAAGTTGTTGTAGACCCTTCTACAAACACTTTATTTGTGTGTTAAGCCAAGAGTGACTTATTGAAAGAATACTCAAATTGTAAAAGTTTGAAGAAGCTTGTCAAAGATTATCGTGTGATTAGCTTAGAGAAGCTAGAAAAAAAAATACTCATGTTGTAAGCTAGGTGTGACCACAACGAATACTCGTGTTTTATCAACTGATAGTGGAATTGAACCAATTGGTTAAGAATTGGACATAATCTCTATTATAGACAAACCAGTACAAAAATCTTACCATTCTATATCTTTGATCTCTGTTACTAACCTTCTGTGACTTTAGTGTTTGTGAAAAACTGCTTTTCAAATTATCATTAATTGATCTTTTCATCATTTAATCCTTTTGTCGGCCTTTGAGTGATAGTTATTACATATTTTAAAATTATAAAACAATATACTGACATGCTTGCAAAGAGTCTTCAAAAATCCACCAAAACCACAACATTACCCCTTTTTGTATTTTCCTTATTTTTTACAAATATGAAATTGAGTTACACCATGACTAATTCTCTCTAAATTAAGGAGAGGACTCTACAAAGCAATGACACTCAACATATTTATATAACAGGAATATTAGAAAGGAATTATTTATCCGAAAGTATCTAAATTCTATATGAATGAAGATTACCCTCCATTAACTTGGAAAAACAGATAGGGAATATCCGTAGATAGTTGGTTCAAAAGAAAAGAAGAAACTAATATAAAAAATTAAAACAAAGAGGGACCAACAACTACCTGTACCACACCTTCACTAAAACCATCCCCAACTTTCATATTCTGAATAGCATCACATAAAGCATTTGCAAATTTATCATATATACCTTCACAAAGAAAAGAATAAGTTAAAAACATAACAACAAGTTTTAAACAAATAATGTATCTAATTTGGTGTTAACTTCAAACAACAAATCAAACAATCAATAGGAATGCATAACCACTACTCTTTGGAGAAAATCCCATAGGAATTTCAGGACAATTCTTTGTTTTTTATCTTGTGTTCTCTTGATTTTATTTCTGATTTAAAAAAAAAAAAAACACTACAAACTCCTTGTCATCATGAGATCATAACTAAATAAGAAACCACTCACACGATAGTTACACCCAATAAGCCTAATGATAATGGTAACGAAATGTTACAAAAGGCTTCTAAGAATTCAAGAAAATTCACCATGTCAACTTGATTATATCAGAAATACTAATATAAAAGCGCACTTTACATCAAACAAATAAAATGTTTAACACATTCCAGAGACTCGTACCATTTAAGAGAAACTGCTTGGATTAAACAGATCAATAAATGACAAAGTATCAAATTCTCCTAAAAGTTTTAATAATTGTGGAATTGACAGTTTACTATCTTTTAAATCTAACCTTCTTGTACAATAATTCTATTTGCACAAACACATGTTTGTCCACTATTACGGAACTTTGCCGCAATCTGCAATCAAATTAATGACTTGAATTAGTGATATCATCATAACAGAAACATGCATTCTCATCATCTCTAACTTACAGTTCCTTTTACTGCAACATCCAGGTCAGCATCATCAAAAACTATGCAAGGTGCATTGCCTCCAAGTTCCAGAGATACCTAAAGTCCAAAAAACATGTACATTTTTCAATATAAGATGCATAAACCCAGTATTTGAAAAAATTAATGACAAAATCTACGCATACTTTTTTAACTGTGTCAGCTGAACCAGCCATCAATTTCTTTCCAACTGCCGTCGAGCCTGTGAATGTGATCTTCCTTACCTAAATAAGTTTATAGTTTCTTCTCAGATATTCAATTACATTCACAAGGTAATTGCCTCATAAAATCACATGGTCACTAAACCTGTGGACTTGCAAGTAAAGAGTTCCCAATATCAGGAGCATCTCCCATTACCACATTCACGACACCCTATGTCATAAGATATAACATCCATTAAAATCATAAACAAGGGCAGGAAGGAGAAAACAAAATGAAGGTTTATTATGGGAAAAGAAAGAAAGAGAAGGTGAAGAAAAGGTCATAAACATAGCAGCCATAAGAAAAGGCTAACTAAATACTTTAGGTTCATAGCTGCTGTGAAATGTGCACAGTCTAGTGGAAGAAATTAATGATGATTAGGGGTTGTCCAACGGAGCCAACTTAGTATTTCTCTTCTGATTACCCACTTCGCATGTGCAATATGTACATTCTACAGTACCAAAATATTAATAGTAAAGCATTAAAGTTAGTAAAAGGTATGCAAAGAATACAAAATAACAGCATAGATTCAAATATAGTATTGATATGAACACATAATAACATACCAAAATATAAAAATGAACTACTGATAAACATCATGATCATGCTGTTGTTGCACAATTACCACAAAATGACAATTTTCAATACATCTAATTCCAAAACATCACAAGGAAAATGATAAAGCCTGAAAGCAAAATATGCAATGAACTTTCATTAATCATAAAAGTATGTTTAAGAAACTACCGCTGGTATTCCAGCTTGAATGGAGAGTTCTGCAGCAGCTAAAGCAGTGAGAGGTGTAAGTTCAGAGGGTTTTATGACCACAGTACAACCACATGCAAGGGCTGGACCAACCTGATATATTAGAAAACAAGCAATTCTTAAAAAGAACTGTTAGCCAACTCCTAAAATAGAGGTGTCAAAACGACCACTCCAACCAATCTATATTCTATACTACCTCTCCAGTCATCAAGCCATTTTAGCCAGGTTAAAAAATTTTAAAAAATGAAAAATAATTTTAAATAAAAATTTAAAGTAAAATGTGCATTTTAAAATTTATGTCATATTAATAAAATTAATTTTTATTTAAGAGATAATAATTTTATTAATAAATTATAGTACATGTATATTTAATAAATAATATTATTTTTAACTTTTTTAAAATATAATTATTATTTTATAAAACAGATCATTATATAACCCTAAAGTTAGTCTAACCTAAACCTATTTAAACCACTAGCTAGACAGGTTGGACCAAAAAAGCTTAATTAAATTTAGACCATAATATTTACCCTAATCAACCCTGTTTTGTAGGTTTTTCGAACCAATACATCGGGCCAGGTCCATTTTAATAGCTCTACCTAAAAACATTTAAAAGTGAAAATGGGTAAAATTTGGATGGTAAAGATTCAAAAAAAAGATACCTTACGAGTAATCATAGCAAGGGGAAAGTTCCATGGTGTAATTGCACCTACAACCCCTACAGGCTGCAAATTCAAAAACATAAACACAAGCCATGTATATAAATATAAGGATTCAGTATTATAAAGCAGAAATTGAATCCATCAAATCAGTTCATCACCATCAAGATTTGGAAATAAATCTCCACTCGTGCAATCCATCCCATTAGTTCATCACCATTTAAACACAAATAATCCCACCTTCTTCAAGGCTTGGAAGAATTGGTCAATAATGGCATCCTAGGATGTCTTCACCACTAAACTTTCAACACTACTCATTGTCAACCTCACTCTCCAAAGTTGCTACCTTTGCTTCCATTGTCATTTTCTAGTTCCTTCATGATGATTTTTCACTAAATTACATCCTCCCCACTTAGTTATCCACAAGTCAAACCAATTTGTTAGAAACCATAATCAGCATAAAAGACCAGTGATGGAAGACAATCACTACGGAGGAAAATGTGTGTATTATGAATGCATAAAGAGCAAATACAATAGAATTGAAAATCCTAGAGCTAGGCTCCTTCATGCACAAATTCTCTCTGCCCATAACTAACTATCCAGAATCATTAATGCGCCCTCTCATCTCACTAGCCTTCACAACCAATCTACTACCCACTCTCTCGCTACCACCTCAGCAATTATTCCATGCTTCCCTTCCTATTCATTCTAGAATAAACTCTACATATTGTGGGCCTAGTGACTAGGCATGAGTCCACAACAAGGGTCCTAACAGAGACCATGAGCCAAATACCAAATAAAGGTCATAGAAAGGATTTTGTTCCACGTCAGAGTTAAGCTGAGAAGAATCCTTAATGAAGATATAGGCATTTCATCTCAGCCAAATACACCAGAGTGGTATAGATAGCAGAATCCCATTATCTCATAAGCCTCACCCATCTCAGTTAATGTAAAATAAAACTGCTGAAATAAATATTTAAGACACCATGTTTACCTGCTTAAGAACAAATAATCGTCGATCAGATAAGGGTGAAGGAATTATATCCCCATATATACGTTTTGCCTCCTCAGCTGAAAACTCAATAAATGCAGCCCCATAGTTTATCTGTAAAGTAGTCATTTACATATAGTGTACCAAATGAAATTCAACTAGGAAAAATACGTAAGAAAGGAAAGAAATAATTGGCAAAGTACCAAACAACAAAAGTTCACCCATCATGTACCTCACCAATAGACTCTTTAAGAGGTTTCCCCTGCTCCAAGGTTATAAGTTGTGCAAGTTCTTCTTTATGTACCATTAGCAAATCAAACCTTGAAAATTGAAGAGAATATTAACTGGATGTAACTATTATCACAAAAAATTATAATTCAGGAACTTCCATCATGATAGGTCAAGCTGTCATGGATAGAAACATATGCAGACTTCATCAAGTCATGTAATCAGCAGAGAAAAACTATACCATTTCCTCAGAAACTTGCTTCTTTCAGCAGCAGTGATTTTGCTCCATGCTACACAGGAAATTTGAGTTATTATAATATTGTGAATAGTCCAATAATCATAGGAACATAAATAAACAATGAACTGCTACATCATTAATATATCAGCAAAGGTTATGATTAATACACTAGAACAAATAAACTACACTAATAACCTCACTACCAAAATACAATATAAAGTGGAGGTCAACTCTTATCTCATTAACCAGTTTTGAACGGTTGAATTGGGCCCAAACTACTCTCTAAGATGGTATCAAAGTTTATCCTAAATCCGCTAAAAGGGTCACTTAACATATTATCCACTTACCAAACCCAATAGTACTTGACGTGAAGGACTGTATTGGAAAAAACACAAGTCCCACATCAACTAAAAATAACAAAAATACAATATATAAATAGGGGGCAATGCCACATCATAAACTAGTTTTGTGGGATTAAGTTAGGCTCAAACCCAAATCCTAAGCGCCAAAAATGGGAAAATTGAAATATATTAATCTACCACTTTATGTAGTCATTCGAAAACATTATAATAAAAACATAGAGGGGTTAATGTTTCCTTGCATCAAATATTACCTAAAACTTTATCCATATCCTCTTTAAAGTAGAGATAGCAAAGTGCATTTAACATCTACTCCCAGTTTCAATTGCAAGCTACCCCAAATTGGTTTAACAAAAGTTAATATTTTGTTTTAAAGCAAGAGATGTTACTCTTGACAAGTCTGCAGGCCCACTAAAAAGAAAACAAAAAGAGTGACCATTCACCTAAGAATCATTTCTTACACAACTTGGTAGTTGTTATTGTTATTCACCATAACCATCACATTGTAAATCTTAAACAAATTTGCCACAGACAATATAAGAGATACATCAGTACCAAACTTATTCAATAACTATGCGCTAAATGTGTTTGGGTGATAAGATTACTTAAGTGCTTATTCATTAGCCTCTTATCACGTGAGAGTCTGTTATAAATTTGACCATAAACCTATAGGATTAAGTTGAAAAGTGTTTATTTTGATAAACTTCACCAAGAAGCTTAATGAAATATGATAAAAAGGTATAATGAGAGTCATAAGCTTGAATAAGCTCTTTTCCAAATACCCCTCATGTGTCTTAGGCAGAGGCATACTTGGTTATAGTCATTACTTGTAGCCTGAAATATAGGATACAGCATGAAACTTGGAAGTTTCATACACCTCCTAAGTTTCATAAGGAGCTCAAGTTAGCTATTTATTGGCTCTTCTAAAACTCCACCCACACCCTAGGTATCTTAGCTAACAGGCATATATATTCAGTCATTTCTGTTAATATATTTCAATCTTTTCCTATACTTCAGCTCCTAGTTTGAAATATAGGATACAGCATCAAGCTGGGAAGTTTAATACATCCATATGCATCATAGGCTGCAGAAATTGCATCATTTGTCTCTCTTCCACCCATGCATGCAACATCTACAATAGATTCACCGGTTGCTGGATTATAAACCTGTCGGGGCATTGAATATATAAGATGCTAAAACAATAACATTATTAAAACAAGGAAAATTCTAGTGATAAAACAGGCTACATGATTATCTATAGACTATGACTATCAGCAACATTAGTAGGCCATGAAGCAGCAAGTACATGCTGTCCCTCTTCCATTGTACTTTGCCAAAAAAAAAACATTGGAAGAAGAATAAGATAAAAAAAAAAAAAAAAAGCCAGTAAACCTTAATGGTTTTTCCATCATAAGCATCACTCCATTTCCCTCCAATAAGGCCCTGAGTCCTCAGCAATCCAGAACTATCAAGCTTGGAAGCAACACTCTGAGCATCCGTGCTCATCTGCCATTCAAACAAACTTGACTCATGCACAAGTAACAAGAATATCCCAAATAGTTATAATAAACACCCATTTGTTAGTTCCTGAAAGGCTTAAGTATCATTATTTTGGTCCTCTAATGATAACCTGGTCATTCAAATATCAATTTTTTACACCAAACCATTAACAATACTAATAAGAATCAGATTTTAAGTCGTTCACACTTTAAACATAAACAAAGAATTTAAGGTAGCTTAAGTATCGGAGTTCAAAAATGGATTTTCCTGTAATTAAAAATTGTTGACTTGCATAATAATTAAAGATCTATTGAAGAGTGGTTGATTTCTAAGAACCATGTAGTTGAAAATTATTTAATTTTACATCATTACATTGAACTAGTTAAAAAGGTTATTTCTAAGGTCAGTGTAAAATACCCTTTTATCAAAACTATAAATGGGTGAAAAACATGTACAATGTCATTGAACACACAACAAAGCTCAAATGGGTTGTGGGGAATCTGCGAAAAGATTGAAACTGTGCAGTTAAAACCAAACATTCAGAACAGTGGAAAGTGGGTATGTCCAAGAATGAAAACTGTGCACAAGTGAAAAAGACATAAAAGGGCTTGCCTTGGTGAGAGTAGGAGAAGAGAATTGCATTTGCATCTGCATCTGCATCTTAACGGATAGAAGATGGGAAGGACGTGAGAGAAACTTTGAAGATGGCAGTGTCATGCGGCCAAGGTTCAGTGCTGCTGCCATTAGCTGTCGGTGTTAGTGATTGAAAATTGCAGTGGTTTTATCTGTTTGCTTGATGAAAATGAATAAGATATTGTTGTGATAAAGTTTAATAAAATAAAATTTAGCATGAAAAATAATATTTGTCAGGATGATTGGCATAATTTAATCTAAACATGAGGGAAGAATGCTGCAAATGCGGTGATAATTCGGATCATTGGAGCTAATTCCACAAACCAGACCAGTTTCGGGATGTTTTTTCAAGTTGCAAATTGTAAATGCATCAAGTCAAATTTGTGGATTATCTTTTTAGAAAAAATAAAGTTAGGTTATTTATTTTATTATGATTAGCACAAAAGCATGTATTTCTGTCGGTATTTATATAATAATAATAATATAAAAATTATTTCTTTATTTAAAATATAAAAATATATTTTTTATTTGTAATATATTGTTATTAACCTTCTATTGTAATATATTATCTTCTAATTCAGTTAAGTATTTTTTTATTACAAACTACTAAATCATAAAAAATAAGGAACATATAAAATATAAAGTATATATATATATATATATATATATATATATATATATATATATATATATATATATATGTATGTATATGAAAGAATATTGTTTTAGGAAATCAGAATGATGTAAAAAATAAAACAAATGTATTATATGTATGTGATTATTAGATGATGATCCATTAATAAAGATATAACTTAATAGATTTAGATTACAGATAAAAAAATTATTACATAGAAAATATTTTAGATAATTACAAATATCTATTAAATTTCAGTTTAGAAATATAAGTACAAAATATAGTTTTAATTTGATAGGATATGTCTTTGTTAGGGTGCGGATAAGTTGACTGGGTATTTATTTGCCTACATGTGTTCTTCTTGTGACTAGGATTATGAATATACTATGAGTGTTCGAGCATACTAAATATATAAAGATTATGTAATGATTAAGTTTTTATTAATGAAAAGATAATAATATATATAAACAAATATAAGTTGATTTATCATGTTATTTAAGTTTCGGGAATTTAGAAAGTGTGACTATGTATATGTTGATGATTATATTAAATGTGAATGTATAAATGATTTATATGAGATTAAAAAAGAAACAGTCTTTTATATGAATGTATTGTTCTTATATTGAAATTAGTGGATGAATTTCGATATGAAGGATAAAATTTAGAATTAATTTGATTTGGAACATTAAAAATAGGGTATTGAGCATAATATGCGATCTGCTACTTCACGAATTTGTCCAATGAATTTAAATTTTCTTAGCAAAATTAAGATAGTGTTGAAAGTCCTTACAATTTGCTCAATGTTTTAATATTCACCCAAGCATATTTTGGACAATATTTGAGGTTTTATTCGTTAAAATTTTGCTTAGTGGATTTGAAATTTGTTCAAGCACTCTAAAATTCACTCGGCGCTTTTAGATTTGCTCAGCGAGTTTTTGAAAAATCATAAAAAATAGCTTTGAACTCCAAATTTAATGTTTTATATATGAAAATAAAAGCGTTGAAAATAAGAAATCCAATAAAATAAAAATTAGTTAAAAAGCATGTCTACAAAAGTTATGATCAAAAGAATAGGTAAAGGTTAAATTAGAAAAAAATATGTTTTGTTATAATGTGAGAAATGATGTGTATGTACCTTTAGCTATAAAATACATGTTATCAACATGAAATGAGGTATGTTGAATGTTATTATATGCCTTGAAAAATATTGTGTTATGATATAAGAATTATCAATGGGTATTCTCATGTGTGTAGTGTTGTATGTATAGATATTAATTTGGGACTCGAGGAGATATATAACTCTACTAATCACTGGAATCACATAGATGAAAGGATAAGGTGGTGAGAGTTGAAGGAGGTTTCTAATGACTTAGTCTACGGTGCGAAAAAGAATTATGTCTCGATAAGTCATTTAGAAATTTACCTTGGTCACGAGTGAATGTATATACTCGAATTAAGTACCCTTGTGTTATGCACTTGGGGGAGTTGTGGTGTAACGGATGCAAATCTCTAATGTCTATTTCAATATCTAGTCTTCAGAAAGTCGTGAAATGTCTATGTGACGTGAATGTGTACCTGTATGGGTGTGTGATGTGATATATGAAAACTCGAAATTGAATTATGTTGTTTTATCTCACGTTTGAATCTTGCATACTTAAATTGAATTATTAGTTTACCCTATGTGTTTTTATCTGTGATGATCATGTTGGAAAAACAATAATAATAATAATCCTGATTTTGATTTTAATGATCAAACATAAACATAATCTCATACTGATAAACATGCTGTAAACTGAATGCGAAAGCGTACCTGAAGTAGTCATAACGATGACGTCTTTGTAGAGCACTATATTGATCTTATGGTCTTCCACCTGAAGAGCACCTGTATTTCCCTCTTGATTTTCTCTCTTGATGGGGATAGAAAGAAAGGAACGGGACTGATACTTACGTTCTGTGTGTGTGCTCCCAGAAGGGGACCACGACCCCTTAAAATAACCAGAATTAGGTTAATTACTTAAGTTTTAGTATTTCCAATTTGGCCCCTCATCAAATTAGAAATTGCTCAATGGTCTCTACACAATTTTATTTTCATGACATATGCCTTTAGCCAAACTTTTTAATTTAGTCAGATCACTTTATTATTTGGCTTAATAAATAATGACCCTAACACATTTAAATTATGTATCATATATATACATGACCCAAATTTTGCCAACAATCTCCCACTGGTCACAAATATATATGTTCTTACAACCTTACAAATGTGTTAGACTTTATGAGCTCAAAATTGTCATTATATTCCTTTAGCATACTCCAAAAGTCCTGTCCATTAATCATATCGGGATATAGAACCAAACCAGACTTTTCATTGCATCATCACAACTAAAACCAACAATGATTACTCATCCTAACATAACCAAATGACATGGATTCATCATGAAATGTGTAGCATGAAAAATTATGTGAAGGTGATCTCGTACACGTCTATTTTCAACTGGTCCAAACTTTAACTTATCGAGATCGATATAATATCCTTATTGTACAAAGTGTAATGAATGAACAAAAAAACCGCATATCTATAGATAACCAAATATGTCCAAAAATCAATGTATACATATATGAAATTAAAAATAGAACATAAAATATATGAAAGTGATTAACTCCCACTAAACCACAAATTCCTCAAACCGTAAAACACCCATGTGAGCAACATGCTCATGAAAGACCTTGGGCGGAAGTCCTTTAGTTAGAGGATATGCTATCATGGAGTTTGTCCTTAAGTGTTCTATGAAAAGTTGTCCACTTTGTACTCTTTCCTTAACAATACAAGCTGATTTATTGTCACAATATAACTTAAGTGGTCTTTCAATGCCTTTCACAATTTGCAGCACTCGTGATAAAATTTCTCAGCCATATTCCATGATTTGATGCCTCATAGCATGTTACAAATTCTCGACATCCTACAAAATCTGAGTCGGAAAACCCAGCGATCTCCAACTGGTCCGACCTCCTATATGTGAGCATATAATCTTTTGTTCTCTTTAAATATCTTATAACTCTTTTTGTTGCTTTTCAATGGTCTATTCTTGGATTGCTTAAATATTTGCCTAGAACCCCAACTATATATGCTATGTCCGGATGCGTACATACTTGGGCATAGATCAAACTCCCTACAACCGATGCATAGAGAATCTTTTGCATTTCCTCAATTTCCAAATTCCCTTTGGGCACCGATTGAGACTAAACTTGTCTCCCTTTAAACTTGTGATACATACAATCATCAACAATATTCATCTTGAAGCCAAATGAGTTTCATACCTTCTAGTAATGGGACAAGTTCCCAATAACCTTATTGTCTTGCATGGACTTATACTTCTCCTTCATTGCTTCAATCCACTTTTGAGAGTTAGAACCTTGTATAGCTTGACGGAAGTTAACTGGGTCATCTTCCATTATATCATTATTTTCCTCATGTTCCCGAAGAAATACCATGTAATCATCCGAAATAGCACTTCTTCTTTCTCTAGTGGATCTCTGCAAAGTTATTAGCTCATGATGCACAGTGTTCTTGAGGATCTTGAGTTTGTTCTTCATGAACAACCAAATCATCTTGAGTAAGGGGTTCATCAACAATGCCTTGTGGAGGTTCCGAACTTACTTTATCAAAAGTAACTATTTGAATCTGGTTCGAAATTGTTACCGATTCTTCCTCCAAGATGAAGTTCTTAATCTTATTCTTCCCCTCAAACTCAATATCCTCAAAGAACGTAGCAGTTCCCGTCTCAAAAATTATCTTTAATGTGGGATCATAAAATTTATATCCCCTGGATCTTTCAAAGATAACCAATAATATAACTACTTACTGTTCGGAGTCCAATTTCTTTTCATTTGACTTATAAGGTCTTGCCTCAGCTTGGACAATCCCACACATGGAAATGTTTCGCACTAAGTTGTCGCCCAATCCAAAGCTCATAAGGTGTTTTGGTAGTCGCTTTAGTTGATACTCGTTTAGAATATAAGTCTGTCGTATTTAGTGTCTCTCCCCAAAGTGATTCCAAGTAAGGTGGAATGACAAATCATACTCTCTACCATATCTTTAAGAGTGTAACACAAGCCCAAACGTCACGATTTGATTGTGACCCGAGCACTTGTGTCATAATGCACCTGAGTGAGTATTTTTAATTTTACATTTAGTACCACGTGATTCTGTATTAAGGGTTTCATTATAGGTGGCCACAATATCAAGTAAATACTGATTATCATAAATCAAAAGTGAATCAGTTCCAACAATATCTGAATTAAAAGACAAATTGAACTTATTGTTTCCAAATGAACACAAATAACATAATTTGTCCAAATAAGAAACTCGAAACCAAATTCCGTCTAAATGACTCGCACAACAAAAGTGTCTTTCAAATCCAAATAAAAAACCAAGTACTCAATAACAATTTAAAATGTCCTATAGCTTCCACCTCTA